GCATGGGTTTAATCCAGAGTCCAACGCTAAAAGGCGTTCACGCCCTTATGCCCAAGAAGGAGCTTTGCATGTGGGGCTCGCTGTGGCCATTGAACAATGACCTTTATTATGATTACTATTATTCTTATTATTACTATTAGTATTACTATTATTAGTATTATTACTATTACTATTATTATTACTATTTCCATCAGGTGGTGCGAGAAGTTGCTGCTTCGTATCTCGGACTCCCTGCGACCTGCGTACCGACCTGAGTGAGCCAGAAGTTGATCTGCCATGCTCTCCGCTGTGCATGCCAGGATGCATTGTGGATGCAAAGCAAATAGGGAGAGTGCATTGAGTGTTGGGGGGGCGTACCTTCAGGCAGCAGCAGGACTTGGCTCGAATGAGAGGTTCTCATTCACAACTAATCTTGGTGCCGTTGCGCGAAGTTGTATGCAATACTGCAACTATTGCTTTCGCCTTGCCAAAAAAGTCTGCTGCGCTGAGCTAGCTGTCTGCCATACCTGTCACGTTCGATGTCACTGATAGAACCTACCTTGGGTGCGTGCTAGCTTTCCATACTAGGCTTCAGACCCCGGACCTGTCCTGTCCCCCGAGCTTGGACTTGTGGAGGCCAAAGAAGGGAGATTTGCAAGTCGGGAAGGCGGGCTCACCGTGCTTTCAGTATGGCAACCAGAAGCCTTCCACAAGGAAGTTCAACTCAGCCAGTTCGCAATGTCAAAGGGTAAAGGGCCAAGGGTGTGCCATCAATGAAGGTTTTTTAGGCGAAGTGGCCAGCAGCGGGAGGCAAAACCGCTCCACATCTTTTCAAGTAACGGTTCACAAGGTAAAGTTAGCGTTCCAGAGGTACCTGCAACCTCGCCATCCGCTTCGGCAGTGAAGGCATTGATGCTCAAGGTGTCTGCGTCAAGTAAAGCTCAGCAGAAAAGGTCTGGCACGCACCTTGTGTCAGTGACCTGCTTTGTGATGTTCTTTGCGCTGCAATCTCATTTTCCCACTTACCACATGACTCTGTCTTGTTCAGCTAGACGCAGGGCATCGACGTCGATGCTGCCACGCCAAGGCAAGCTGGAAATCAGAAATTCTCATGGTTTGCTTTGGCAGTGACGTCAGCCATCACATGCTGCAGCTGCAGCCTGCTGGTCACCTTTTGGTTACTGTATATGTTGTTGGCAACCCGTAAAGATGAATCCTAAAGGGGGACCCCGTCAAACTCATCTTGCTCCTGCAGCACTGGTAGGCACAATGCCCAAGTGGCGCAGCGAGCGCCCACGCCAACAAATGCCGCAAGCAAGAAAGAGGCGCCTTGCTGCAGGGAACGTGTCTAAGCACGGAAAGGCGAACGCCTATCCCAAAATCTAGCATGAAGCTTTACACCTGCTTGCCAACTTCTTGCAGTAGCAGCATCTTTGGCGTTGACTCATAGCGAGCTCTCTCAGCGCCATGACAAAGGTTCAAGAAGAACCTCGCAATGTCATTCTGAACGCTGAGGACCTGAAAGTCGGGAAGGCTCGTGGACCAAAAGCCACTAGCATGGGGTGTACGAACAACCATTGTAGCATACACTTGCTTGCACAATGTGGCATATTGTAGTGACACGCACAATGGCACCCACCAGGCTAGCAGACAGATTGCTGTTTGTTTGAGATTCCCGTCTACCCTAGAATACAGTTCCTTATTCCACACTATAAGATGCTTGACGAAAAGCCCTCGTGCTCCCTTCAAGATCCATAAGGAAACCGCGCATCCCTTCTTTTGAGCCCTAAACCCTACAAAACCCCAATATGCTATAGTAGCTTCCATTTTCTTTTCCATTATCCCTAGATAACCACAATATATACCCTATAACCCCTATATAGTCCCCATATAACCCCCCCATAATCCCCTGTAGTTTCCATTTTTCCATTATCCCTATATAACCGCCAACGAGAGTGGTGACAAGACCTGAAGGTTCTTGGCTCCGGCGGCTTCGGGGCCGTCTACCGTGGCACCTACTGCGGCCAAGAGGCCCTTTAGGGTTTAGGGTTTAGGATTTCAGTACCCCTCAGGGTTATAATAGGGTTATATTGGGGTTATTTTGGGTAATGGAAAAGAAATTGGAAACTACTATTTGGGGTTTGGGGTTTATAGTCCCCCTTAAGTGGATAGAATATGGGGTTTCTGGAGAACTTATCACAACATACCCACAGCCATGCTCTATAGGGGGACTATACTCAGAAGTGTCACTAGTTACTCAGTATTGGTACCATTGCTATCCGGGTTTTTCATCTAAAGACCTCCGCCGACCTCACCTTAAATGGTGGTTTGTGTAGGAGACAGCTCCCACTCAGGTTCTAGTAGCACCAGCGGGACCGAAGCTGTGAATGCAGGTGGCCATCAAGAAGCTGCACCTCATTGATGGTCAGGCCATAAGCAGACGCACAGTACTGGCAATCCTGATGATGAAGGATGTGGGAGTTTCTCAAGAAGGGGGCCCGTAGCGAACCTAGGGATATGTAGGCATTGAAGGTTTATTGTGGGGATCCTTATTAGGGATTGCTCAGGGACTAGCGCGAGAAACAACCGTGTATGGACTTTGGACTTGATGAGGCAGAAAAAACTGCTGAACATGGGTTGCACCGCCTTCCCTGAGAACTTTAACAGGTGTCTCCGGAGCAGAAGATGGAGTTTCAAAAGGAGGCGCAAGCCTCAGGCGTCAGGCCAAACTTTCCCAGTCGATGTTGTAGTGACACCGCTCACCCACCTCTGTCCCTTGGGTGCTAACAGTCGTCATGTACACCCTTAGTTTCTTGGTACCCATGAAGACCAAGGATTTGCACGCGCGCTCCAAGAACTATAATCTACCCCCGCCGTTTGTTATTTTTAATTATGGGGGGGAAAATTCAAATGGAAGGATGTTGCCAGTCCTCCAGTGCAACTGGGTGGGGTACTCAAACTACCGGAGCACGTTTTTGTCCCTTAGGGCTTGTTGTTTCTGAAATCATTAGAAGAATCCCAAGCATGTTATGAGCACTTTGAGTGTGCCGAGGTCATGAACCTCGCCAGACTGCGACACCCACGTTTGGTGAGCTTCATCGGCCCTGTTCCAAGCAGCATGACTCCAGGGTTTAGCAGTGAAGCCACTTGGTTGCTGAGAGTGCACTAGCAGCTGCTGCTGCTGCTGCTGCTGCTGCTGCTGTTGTTGTTGTTGTTACACTTGTTGCGATTTCGGATGTCTGACAGAAGTCGTCCAAAGTAGGACTTGCTTCTTCCTCCGAGTTGCAGACATGCGCATGCCGCTTTTGAAGCACACCTTCCCTCCCGCGCTGCTGAGGTGCAGCCCTTGCTGCGCCATCGCTAATGATTGCTGCCTGGCTGCAGTGCTAGGACGGCCTGGGGAGTGAATTTTTGCGGTGTGCCCTTATTTATGCAGCAGTTAAGTCAACAGCCGCGCAAATGCTGTCTGGTGTGGCGGATGCTGAGCTTGCCCACCTTTCACACAGGCTAGCATCATACCTACGCAGTTGGTCAGCACTGACGTAGGGGCCGACCAGGTTACCGAATTCATGCCCAACGGGTTCGAATCTCAGCTCGATTTTCCCAGATGACCCGGCCTCGCATTTTGAAGTGTCACGAGGGATCGAGTGCCATGGATGCCACCAGACTGGACTATTGTTGTGCTTCACACTTTGTTGTGTTGATTCGTGAGAAGCTCGATAGATGTCACCCTGGCATCTCAATGATAAGCTCAGGTCGTTGTACGAAGCACTGCATCAACGCAAGTTCGGCCCTTGGTTTCAAACTCGCGCAAGTACAGGGATTGTCTCTGAAGTCCTGTGAGTAATTGCGCTACTTGCTTCTTTCAATCGTGCGCCTTTCTAACGTTCAAGTCCTTGTACTTCAGCAGGTGAAGCATCAGGTAATCCTGAACAAGTGTTAGGTTTCCAAAGCTTTGGTTTTGCGATGCTCACCAAAGGTGGAAATGCGTTGCTGTAAGGTTGGCCCTGGAGCAGATCAAGCGGTTCAAAATCGCGACGCAGGCAGGAACCATGCAGAAAGTGAAAATGTCCACTTCTTCGATAACCACATAAACCCTTCATGATCCCCATAGACGCCTGGAACCCCTGAGAGTGCCCTGTTTGATGTTTACTTCGGACTAATGGTTCAAATGACCTTGCAAGCAGGTTGAGGTGAAGGCATTTAGTATATATTGTTCTATTCTACTTCGTGATATATATCTATATATATATATATCTTCTATGTCCAGCAGCTCGGAGCCAGAACTCCTGCTCTTAAGCTAGGCCGGTGCTAGACCGAATGCATGGAGTAACACTTTGGGAGAGGTTCGAAGCATCTCCTGTCACTCCTGCCAGTACAAATAAGATACAACACAGAATATGGACCCTAATACTGACCCTAAAATGTCATAACCCTTATTATAGTATAAGAAAATGATGCAATATACTTACTACCCTACCGGGTTTAGGGTCCAGGGCTAAGGGCTTCAGACCCTAAATTGGCTTGAACACCGGACGACTCTGCAAAGCTGTTTTGGCAGGTATCTGAGGGTGCCACTTGGTGGCATTTTTGAGCATCCTTCGTAGCCAAACAGGCCATGTAGGCATATGCTGCATATGCTGCATGCGCTGCCGCATCCTGATGTCGGTGTCCTGACATCCCGGACCCAGTCGTTCTGCAGGCCACAGAATGCATTGCGTGCTGAATACGTGGGAGTGGCAGTTTAGCACATACCGCTTCGGCATTGCAAGATGCTGCAGCAAAGCGGACTTTCTGAACTTTGCCATTTTGCACTGCCAATGGTACATTTGGCAATGTAGAGACGGAAGCGAGTGTACCAAGCGAGTACATCAACACAAGGACCCTGGCTGACCTGAGCCCACATTATGCACAACACAGCCTCAGGAAAAGCTGAAGAAGGTTTTGTCTTTTCATATCTTGCTCAGGTGAGCTTCCTCCACAGCAAGACGCCCCCTTTCGTGCACCGTGATTTGAAGAGCATGAATGTGGCTGCCCTAATTCTTGGACCGTAGCTCTGGCAGTTGCAAGAAGATGCGACAAGCTGAGTCTTTGATTCGCAGTGATTTTTCGTTTACTGATTACCCAGGTTGTAATGGATTTCGAGCTCAACGCCAAGCTCTGCGATTTCGGCTTGACTCAGGCCTTGAGCTTCTTCGGTCAACATGCTCAATATGTCAGCACGGTGCAACAAGATGTGAGATCATTGGCTAGTCTTGGATGGATTTTCTGGTTAATAGCTTGCGTGTGACTCAGTCCATGGAGAAGACTCACATAAGCGGCGGGCTCAGTGCTTCTAGTGTAGGTCGATGTAGGAGAAGCAGGCATGTGCCTCTGGAAGGTAGCCTTTAAACTCGAACATGCAAAAAAGCCTGGCACATGCCCTGCAAAACACGGATTGCACTAGACAAGCACCCAATCTGCCAGTCGTCTAACAGCCTGAACCTGGCCATCCACGAGGATGTCCACTTGAGCATTCAAGTGTAGCCATCACATTCAGCCCTAAGTTCTCGCAGGTTTGCAGGTTCAGACGTTGCCTCTCGTTACAGGTTTGACTGGACTTGCATTCTCGCGCTGCGAGGACTTGTGTAGGGATTGTTGGACAAGCTTACACAAATGACAGTCCGGTCCCTGCGCCATTTTTGCTTTAGGGCTGGCTTGTGGCTATTGCTCAGCACCGGTTCGATGAGGTCGGAGGGACAACGAAGGTGGATCACCACGGCCCGGCGCCTGGGTTTCACACACCGCCAAACATGAGGGTTTGCCAAAATGACACTGTCCCGGTCCTTGGTCGCATCGGTTTCTTGTCAATCTCGGCAATCACTTGGGAAGAAGCTTACAGGGAGGGTCGCATCAATTGTTGGTAATGGATAGCAGTACTCATCATTTGCCATTCAAAGCTGAAGCATTCAGAGTTGGTAAGGAAAGATTGTTGAAACCGAACATGTACTTTGCTCTACTGTGGCTCAAGAAAATAGTGCGTTTGCACGTTGTTGTGTTTTGGGGTTCGCTGCTGCATAACCTTAGGTTATCAGCCGTAGCGAACTTCCTTTTC